AGAATCCGCTTCCAGACAAGAAATCACCTCTGAAGCAGATGAGCCAGTGATCTTKGATGTGCTATATAAAACCCACAACAAGTTATGCCTATATAAAGGCATTCCCTTCCTCAAAAAAGTAGATGCAATGCAACACTCACAACTATCTTGCAATCTTGCTTTGTAAGCTTCTAAAACTCTTCGCTAATTTCTAATTTCTCTTTCTTTATAACTTGATCAACCAACATATCAACTCGCCAACCAAACTATCATCCAACAGAAAGCAATCAGATCACGCATCATTATATATATATATATTAATTATTAATTATATACTTATGTATTGGATGATAATGGTTGATTAATTATCAAATTTTTATTAGGTATCTATGATTCCAACTCAGTACGTAGTAGCCCACTGCCTAAAAGCAGCGGGGCCTACCTTCAAGGAGTTTCTTTTGAGCCGATTAAACAACTATGATATTTCCAAGTCTTTGGATAGCTAGTAATGTCATATATGGCTTACTTTGACATTCTGTGGTTCTGGTCTAAAATATTTATCATGTTTTATTTTTTGAAAAGATAAAAAAAAAGGAATCAAAGTACTCTCTGCACAGTATCCATCCATATATGTTGATGTTTCTGCTGCCTAATACCACAAATCCCCCAGAGGAAATGACTTCGATTATTAAGACATATATATGTAGCTGCATCTAGACAAATCAAGATATATAGGTCAACAGAAAATTCTTTTAATCATCAAATTCACAATGATTATTGGATTGGAATATATTAAGAAGAAGGAATATGCATGTCATCACACTGCACTAAGCTAAAGGCTACAAATATACTTTTATCTTTCAATCCTGCTATGGAATCTTATTGTTATGCCTTCAAATTACTGTACCTGCAGTTTCCATAAATAATAAAAACCCACTCCAACTTAATTTCTGAAATTACTAGATCTAAACTTAATTGCTACTTGTATTGCATAATTTTATCAACTTAATTTGTCATATTAATTACTACAAAAGTATTTACTAGAATCACATTTATAAATGCTTGGGCCGGGAATGGGAATATTAATTTGATACTTGTTATCGGCCAAAGCCGAGATGCTGTTATTAAATTCACAATTTTCTTTTGGTTGTTCCTAGTTAGACAGGTTACACTATAACATATGCGTGCATGTCGTCAACAACTTGCACGAAGCCAATGAGATTGATGGTGATATCATGATGCATTTTCAATTACAGCCATTGGCTGGTGTTGTTCAGGTCCCTCCACTTCTCTGTTGTTGGGACTTGGGATTATAGGATGTTTGGCCCATGGTTTTAAAACTTCGTTGATATGTCATATGGATGGTTGGACTGTTTGATTTAGAAATTATTTGTGCAGGCAATTGGTTCAATTAATCGGTTTGTTTTTGTCAAAAGTTGTTGACTTGATGAGCGACCCATGGATCTAGGTGGTCAAATTGCTCGATTCGGATAATTGTTTTCTTCTTTTATTTTATTTTTTATTTATTTTTAAATTGCAATGGACTGTTCATTTGGACTGAATGGCCCAACCGCTGACCTGAAAATTGGTTGCCAAAGAAGTTTCATTTCGGGTTTTGATTCCTTAAAAGTTGATCTGGGCTACTAATTTATTTTTGTTGGGCTGATTTCATCACAAAAAAGGAAAGGTAGAGACCTCAAATGACAAATTATAAGTTTGAGCGGGAAAACTGCAAAGATTCTTAAGGGTCTCTCCCCATTCCCCTCCATACAATCTTATAGAGAATCTTTTTAAAATCTAGTCCAAGAAAAGCTTCTCCAGTGGCTCCTGCTGCTATTATCCATGGAGTATTGCACTTCTCAGCTCACCGAGTTATGCAAAATGGTAAATCTGGTATTTACTATTTATTATAATAAATACTGAAAATATATTAATTTAGTCAAATAATAATTTAATCTTTAATAAATATTAATCAATAAATTATAGAAAATATATAATTACTAAAAGTAAATTTATAACAAAAATACAATAAATACGATAAATTAAATTTCAATTTTTTTTTGTTCGAACGCTGAAGAAATCACTGAAAAAACAAGATTTCTTTCCCCTTTTCTATGTTTTATTTTGAAATTTTGAAGAAGAATAAAGGGTAAAATAGTCTTTTTGGCCTTTCTGTTAACGAACGTTAACAACAGAGGTAGAGTTAGTCAATTGTCAGAAACAGTAAGGGTAGTGTTAGTCAATTGTAGATAAAAAGTGGGGGAGAGGATAAATAGGAAATAGAGATAGTTTAGGAGGGAATCTCTGTACTAAATTAGAGATAATTTAAGAGATAAATAGGAATTAGAGATAATTTAGGAAATAAATAGGAATTAGAGAGAAATTAGGAAAAAGTGGTGCCACTTGGCTAAACATTTGAAAAACAAATCCATCTTCCTTTATGGTTGTTAGAAATAGTTAAACCTATGTAATTTCCTTATTGGTTTAACGGGTAATTATGTAGAATTAAAAAAATAAAAAATTCAAAAAAAAATAGGAAATTAGGAAGAGGGATTTGGAACAAGGAGAGTGGTGATGATATGAACTGTTTTGCTATATATATATATATATATATATTTGGATTCTTCATCTTTCTTTCCTTGAATTCTCCAAAATTTCTCCTTGTTAATTATATAATATATTAAATTGACGTCCCATCCTCTCAATGCTAATTTGTAATTGGACATACCAAGAAATAAAAACAACTCTCCGAGAGAATTAATAATAATAAAGAAGAAACTGAGCTTTCAAGTTTCAATATAGCTGACCATCACAGGACAACTGGACAAGGGTATTATCTGTGGGTGGGGACTGGGGAGTCTCGCTCGCTCTCCCTTATTTTGATTCGAAGTTGGAAAAAAAATGGGATTTTTATAGTTCAGTCCACCCTTAGGGTAGAGCTAGAATTTTAGGGGTGGACTAAATCCTCTTGTGAATTGATGTTAAATTTACGGGCAGGATGCGGTTTATAAAGGTGCTATTAGTAAATTAGGAGGAAGCTGCAATTCAGATTTCTCAAGTGGATTGTAGTCCACTTATCCCCCACAAAAAAATAAAGAAAAAAAAAAGCTTGTAGCGGTGGATGCTGCTACTTAATATTATTACAATATTACAAGCATAATTTATATATTTACAACATGGAGCGGAGGGTAGAGGGGCCCACTTTCGTGTTCGGCAGATGCAAGCAGAAAAAAAGTATTTCAGCTCGTAATTATAAACTTATAGACTCAGGTGACCAGTGGGTGAGCCATCCTTTCAAATTCGGAAATCGGATTCAGTACTCATAAAATAGTGCTCACACTGTTCACAGCCATTATTTGGTAGGAATATCTTCCAGGTCTCTGTCTCTCTTTGGCAACCAGTGTGGCACTCTAGCATCTCCATTCCTAATTCATATCAGGCTTCAGGATTGGACTGGACTTGGGCTTCTGGTTTTATGAGAACCGGGCTTGGGCCTAAGATCTAAGTCCAATGATTGGATCAGATTCAGGCTCGGGTCTGAATATATTATGTTGATAACAGATGAAAGCCCAGCCCAAACCCAACCCATAAACAGATCTAGTTATGAAACAAACAAACAAGCACATGGCATGATGATACATATATTTGTCGGGAGACGGTCTCCTCTCCTCATCCCAATTTCCAACCGATGGTCAAAGGTCAACGTCTGCCGTAGTGTAGAGGATGGCAAGGGAGGGTCAAAACTTTGTCTGCCTGGGATGGGCTGTTAGGAATTACCCCATACCCATGGTAACGTGTCAACGTTTCCAACAGCCTAAGGCTGCTGGCCCCCAACATGCCAACAGCCGATGGCCAAAGTTTTTTTTTCCTACACAAGGCTGCCAATATGTTATTATTATATACATAACACAAAAAGTTGTTGCATATAGGATATAGCGAGCGTAACGGCAAGCCAAAAGAGACACATTATAACACACCATCCATAAACCATAATATGAGAGATATGGGAAAGATTCAAATTGATGCACAGATATGGGGAGTGAGGAACGAGGTCTGATGATCAAAGAGGATGGCTGTTGGAATTCAAACTTGTCATGCTTTATATATATATATATATATATATAAATTGACTAAATCAAATAAGACGTTTAGGTGTTTAGGTCTTATATTAATGTAAAAGAAAACAATAAAAAGGTTGCCCAAAATGAAAATTGCGGTTTCCAAAGAAACTTGTGCCTCACCAAACCAACCTTGCCTTGCCTGCCGCATTCAGAATTTAAGATTTGGGGTGGCAGGTGGCTACCCTTTTATCTGCTGTTTAGCCAGATTATCCCATTTCCCAAGTCGTCCTACTCCGAGCCACGCACTTCACTTGTTGACTTGGGAGAACTACGGATTTGTCCAATGCAATTTCTGATTTATGCTATAAAACTATACAGTATAAATATTCAAAATGACCACAACCTACATTCTGTGTATACTTTGAGCCTATAAAATTCTGACCCTGGGTTGATTGGTCATTCTCCCTTTCTATTTTCCTACCTCAATGTCAAAAATGATCATCATCAACATTCAACTCCCCCACCTGTACCGTATTTTTCAGCTATTCAATTCAACCATTCTTACCCTACCCGTTACTTCGGTTTTCATTGCCAAATGAACATGGGAGTAATGGACTATTCTCTCGTCGCTACTATTTGTTTTGGATCTAGGTCATGCCATTGCCATGCCACACTGAAACCTTTTCTCTTTCTCTCTTCTTTTATAAATTAATGGTGGATCATGGATGGGGTAAGCCTCACAAGAGTAGCAGCTTTTAATTTTGTAAGTCCAGCTCCAGCATTTTCAGTGGTGGATGTCTAAACTAAACTCTCCTTTACCAGAGGAATGCACTGTTTCTGCTTAGAAATCGATAAATTTCAGATTGGGTTCGGCAGTACTTTTTGTTCTGCTTCAAATGATAATATCATTTTGAGAACAAATAATTTAACAACGAAAGCACAATAAAATTTTCAAAAATATAGTGAAGAATACTCGTGAACAAAGGGGGAAAATTGGGGATCATACATACATACATACATACATACATATATATATTTACATGAGCCTTTCTTTCAACTATGAAAGGAAAAAAAAAACAAAGAAAAAGAAATTTGTATACAATTACTACAAGGGAAAGGCCATTTCCTCATTTCCTGTAACCTGTGCGTACAAAAATACACAATACAACCGGTCTCCATTGGTACCAGAGAGGCCAAATAAGGCTCTCCGCTTCTTTTTTGCCACAACCAAGTCACCAACCATTCAATGCGTTTCACCTTCGGTGCCTGCCTCACAGCTTTTTTTTTTCTTAGAAAAGAAAAAAGAAAACAAAGATTTAATGTGATGTTAGAATTTTGAGTAGAGTCAGATGAAGATCAGTCTAGACTTGCGTTGTCAGGCTCGTCGGCACACGTTTTAGTTGTAATATATGTGTTCTCAGGCTACAATCCTTCACCTGTAACCATATATATGTTTTTTTTGTTAGCGCTATCGACCCCAAGTCAGAAATAATATTGCAGACTAGAAAAACAGAGCTTGCTCAAACCTGCATGGCGGCTAACGTGCACAAGAGATCTTTGCATTGGGATATCAAAGCCCGCTCCTGAGCAGTAACGTTTGCCAGTTCAGCCACCAAGGAATTCATTTCATCCACCTGTTGAGTAACAAATGGCTTCAACTATCGACAGGTAAACCACAATGTAATCAAATGACCACCAACCAACCCCTTTTCTACCACAAACCCATCGAATCTATTTACATCTCACCAAGTATGTACAAAGTACCGAACCCTGAATTCACTCAACTTCAATGTAACATGATTGTCAGAAATTTCTTCAAAAAGGACAACTTTAACATAATCAATACGGACAATACTTTTTTTATCCAGCTAAGATTTCATCCGTATTTCTTGGACATCAACCGAGCTGTTTTCCTAAGTTACTCCTTAACTTGAAAAATATGGCTTAGTAAAGTAATTTAATACATACATACATATGCACCAGCTTCATTTAATATTCGTTACTATCACCATCACCACCAACAATAAAACAAATATAATATGCCCTCTATTCCATGGATGCCAACCACTTTTTAATATTGTCCTGTTTTCTCTTTGCCATTTAAGGAGGAAAAAGTAGGAGACTCCTGCTCTCTCACAGCCAAAAACTAATAAACATTGATAAATAAGAATTAGGGAAATTTCCCAACTAGTACCCTGTACTTTGGTTCCCAAACTTTAAACTGCGACAATTCAGTACCCGAACTTTCAAAACATGACAATCCAGTATCTGCTGTTAACTAGCCGTTAAGTGGTATTTGAAAAAGACACAAATGCCCTTCGAGTGTCATCTAATTTTCTTTATCAACCATCCAAACATTGACAACAAATTAACAGTCTCAAATCCTTGCCTCTTCTGTTCAAGAAAGAGGGGGTCACCAAAATGGCCACTCAAACGTGACCCCAACTTTCTTGAATGGAAAAGGCATTTGTGTCTTTTTCAACTGCCACTTAACGGCTGGTTAACAGCTAGTTAACAGCAGGTACTGAATTGTCACGTTTTAAAAGTTTGGATACTGAATTGTCGCATTTTAAAGTTTGGGGACCAAAGTGGCACTATGCCCAAAGTACAGGATACTTAATCGGGAATTTTCCCTAAGAACTAACATGTACCAACATTATAATATTAATATTATATTCCTCTTTTTTCTGTAGGCAATGCAATATTTATTCCTTGGCACAAAGTCAACAACATAACCCTGTATAGTTTTTTTTTTCTTTTTTTTTTTTGATAATTAGCATTACTCTATATAGTTGGAACAAGGCTTTGTTGAGTTGAGTCGCGGAGGGCCAAGTCAACAACATATGCTAAACACTCCACTACAACACAAGTAATGCAAATGGACTTCCTAGTTCCTACCTATCAGATCAAAACTGATGAATGCTTCTGGCACAAGACGATTGTCATGACAAGTTAAAGAATAAATGATCACTATGGATGATTATGCCATCCATCCAACCATCAGTTATTGTTTTCAATATTCCAAAGCATGCAACTAATTTACAACTACTAGAAATATGCTAATTACAAGGTAGAATATCAAAAAAAAAAAAAAAAAGCTCTGCATCGTTATGCCTGTAACAGTACTTGGTACAAATCACATCCGATATTCTGAGTTTATTTGAGATTTCTTCCTTCTTTCTCTCTTCCAGGATACAGAGATTTTTTCATGTCGAAACCCCAGGATATATCACCTAATATGGTGCAGTACTTGGTGCAAATCACATCCAATATTCTGAGTTTATTTGAGATTTCTTCCTTCTATCTTCCAGGACAGGTTGTACAGAGACGTTCTCATGTTGAAAGCCCAGGATATCACCTAATATGGTGCAGTCCTCTTAAGGTTATTATTTTGTTGACTACCATCAGGATAGCTCATTCAATTATGACTAGGAATGACTTCAGAGGTATTTCAGCGGCCATAGCAGGTTAGCTTGAGATAATTGGTTTACAGCAACCATTAGAGCACAGCACCCCTTCCGCCTTTCCTAAGGAGTTAAGTTTAACAGATCCAATGGGTTGGGATAGAAATTTGAACTTCCCATTGATTCCAAAATTAGCTATGGGATTTGCTCGGGATGATGCTAAAAGGAGTAAATTCTATTGGAGAATTGCTCTTATGAAGTAGGAAGGTAGTTCATTATCCTTACGATTGTAACTGTTCCTCTGTTTGGATGACTATTTGAGGCATCTTGTTGTCCTCTCACTGTGGAGGAGGTGCATGCATGATCCTTTTCTCTTTTCATATTGGTAAGGCTGCTTGTGGTTTGGTTTTAAGTGATAACAGGACTTTCATAAATCACATTTGGTTGTGATGTGTAGAGTCAGACTGAATGTTTGGTCTGCAAAGTGGGAAAACTTCCCTCAAAATATTTGGGGTTAACTCTTGGAGATAGATGCATCTCAAAATTAATTTGGACCTAATCATTGAAAGGATTGATAACAAGTTGGCAGCATGGAACGCAAGGTACCTGACGAATGGGTGGTAAGCTGGTTCTTTTGAAAAATGTGCCATCTAGTCTCCCAACCTACATGATGGCTCTGTTTCATATCCTAGTCTGTCTGGCAAATACGATTAAAGAAGATGAGGGAGTTATTCTGGAAGGGGTGGAGAGATGAATTCAAATTCCATCTTGTACAATGGAAGTGTTTGCTCTCCTAGAAGGCTGGGAGGTCGAGGGATGAGTAGAATGAAGGAGATGAATTTGTCTCTACCACGAAAATGTTCTTGGAGGTACAATGAAGAGCCTTCAGCTCTGAGGAGGAGAATTATTGCTGGGATCTTGGAACAGAAATTGGGATCCAAGGCAAGTAAAATTATCCTATAGCTGTGTTGTATGGAAGAGCACTGAAAAATCTTAGGGTAAATTACAAAGACCCCCCCTGTACTATGGGGTCTGTGACAAAGACCCCCCTGGATCCACCAGCTTTCCGTTGAAATCGACCATTGCAATATTTTTTAATCCCCATACTATCCTTGTAATAACTATTCCGACAATTGGGAGGAAAACACTATTCATCTTCTCTGACATCACGATACACGAATAGCAGCGGCAGTAATCCCTTCTACCTCAAATTCCTTCACATTTCTCTCTCCCTCTCTCTCCCCCGATCTCTCTTCTTTCCCTTCCCCTTTCTCTCCTCTCCTTTTTTCTTCCCGCTTTCCTCTGTTTTCCATTACTCTCGGCCATAACCGCCACAACTCGTTGCAGTGGCTAATTCGGTTGTTGAAAACAGACTGCAAGGCCTATTCCCAGGCCTCAAAGTTGCCTTACCAACAATGAAGGCCGGAGTAACAATCGAAATCGGCAGCAATGGAGTATTATCATCAGGATATTTAATCCTCCTGTGAACGCATTGTACAGGGGGTTTTTGACAGTACGACGACTTAGCTGAGCTTGAATGGCTCTTGAATTTCGTGGAGGAATCGTTCTCAAGCGACGACTTGCAAAAGCTGCAACTGATTTCTGGGATGAAAGCGCACACGGATGATGTGTCTGAAACTCAAGAATTCCAACCAGAGAACAAACAAGAATAACTCGATATTTCGTCCAGAGAAGTCAGTTCCCGCCAAAGCGAGAAGCAAGCGTTCCCGCGCTGCTCTGGACAACTGGTCTTCAAGACTGCTTGTACCGTCTCCGACAACATCGTCGTTGGAATCCGACGTTGCACGAAAGGGACACCGAAGAAGAGAGAAAGTTCAGACGGTACAAGTGGCAATGGCAAGGGGCGGAAATGCCTGCATTATGCCACCGACAAGACACCGCAGTGGCGGACCGGGCCCATGGGTCCGAAGACACTTTGCAACGCATGCGGTGTCTGGTATAAGTCAGGGAGATTGGTCCTAGAGTACCGGCCGGCAGCGAGCCCGACATTTGTTCTCACGAAACACTCCAATTCGCATAGAAAAGTACTGGAGATTTGACGACAGAAGTTGCAGAGGGCTCAGCAACAACAGTTCCTTCACGCTAACCCAATTTTCGATGTATCTAGTGGTGAGGATTATTTAATCCATCACCACGCTGGGCTCGATTTCAGGCAGCTAATCTGATTGATCAGTACGGTTTAGCAGATCCACTCGTGCAGAACTCAATTCAGCTCGACAGTTTTAGCAGACATAATTCTCCGGAGAATTTCCATAATTTTCTGATTTTCTTGTTGTAAGAGATCTGATTTTGGTCCTAACTTTGAAACTTCGTAGGTTATAAATTCTCTGCCGCAGAATTACCAAGCAAAAGAAAATGGGGGAAGAAGGAATGGATATGGTACTGAACTCTAATGTTTCTATTCCTTTTTTTTTCTTGTCAATTTTTTTTTCTTTCCATTTCGGCCGAATTGGGCAATTTCTGGAAGAAAATATTCCCATTTTGGAGAAATGTTTGTTTTGYTTGCACTCTCATTTTAGTGTTTTAAAGCTTCCTAGGGAAGAAAATATGTTGTGCAGTTTGCACTCTCTAGTGCTAGTTCTATTGTGATAAGTGATAAGCGCCCCCCCCCCCAGAAGAACGTCCACTCTCTACTGAAATCTTAGGTTTGGCTACTCGAAACCAGGTTTGATTGGTTGGACCATTAGAATTTCAATTCTCATGTGATCGGAGCCAACTGATAAACAAGAAGCATGTGGCGGCTATGGCCGAGAGGAACGGAAAACAGAGGAAAGTGAGAAGGGGAGGAGAGAAAGGGGAAGGGGAAGAAGAGAGATCGGGGGAGAGAGAGAAATGTAAAGGAATCTGAGGTAGAAGGGATTACCGTCGCTGCTGTTCATGTATTGTGAGGTCGGGGAAGATGAACAGTGTTTTTCTCCCAATTGTCCAAATAATTATTACAAGGGTAGTATGTGGATTAAAAAATATTGCAATGGCGGATTTCAACAGAAAGCTAACGGAAGAAGGTCTTTGTCTCATGGTCATAGTACAGGGAGGGTCTTTGTTGCAAAACAAAGTACAGGGGGGTTTTGTCACAGACCCCATAGTACAGGAGGGGTCTTTGTAATTTACCCAAAATCTTATGATCTCTTTAGTATGAGGTGGGAGGTGGAGCTCGGGTGGGCTTTTGGGAAGACATTTGGGCTAGGGAGAGACCCCTGAAGGATGAG